GAACCGGTTCACAGTTCAAATTCGGAATCATTTTTTATCATGATCCGAAACTTAAACCAAAGTAGAAAAGAGACGAACCGAAAACCACATCAAACTATATATATTATCTAAAATGATTTGGTTGGGATAAAGAAATGTTTATGAAGGATAAACCATGATCCAAAACATAAACCATATTAATTAGTAAATATAAAAGAGACGAACCCAATCTCGAATCAAGCTATATATTTTAATTAAAACGATTTAGTGGGGCTTAGAAAGTTTTTATATCTTCAAAACTTGGTTCTTTCATACATTTTTATGTAAATATTATGAACACACGAACCGAACCTAAAGGCAGGTAGCTGGTTCAAATCAACTAAAGCTTTTTTTTTGATACCCTTTCCTATTAGCTTGCAGCCCTGCAGAGCTCTTTACTTTAGCGCTTAGTCATGTTGGTTAGTTAATCGTAGTTAGTTTCGAGTTGTTCTTCATTTCCGTGGCACAACTAAATGAAGTTAATTCTTAAGATTGTGGCTGCTGCTCAATTGTTATTTACGGGCATTTGCACCTTTCACCGAGGCGACAGTTGCAACTGGTTGCACGAGACACACACACACGCACACACACACACACACGCTTATTTAAATGAGCTGATTTATGGGAATTTGATGGGCGCATTAAACAGAGCGCACCCCCGACTTGTAGCTGCTACTGCTCCAAAAAAGAACCTTAATATGTTTTGTATGCTGCGCACAACAACAGCAACAACAACTACAACAACAACAGCAGCAGCAGCAGCAGCAACAACAACAAGAATCAGCTTGACAACGAAAATTCTTACAACGAGGCGACGTCGCAGCTGCTGTTTCAGTGCCAACTCTTGTATTGTTGTTGTTGTTGTTGCTGTTGCTTGTGCTGCGTACTTTATTATTAATTTTAAACGTGGGCACCACCACAACAACAACAACAGCAACAGGAACGGGCACTACACACAACACCCACAGCGTTTTTGTCAAGTTGCTTGGATTTTTATTTCTTAAATGTTCTTTTCAGCGCTTTTTTTTTTCGCTGGCCGCATTTGTTATTACTTTTTGTGGTTTGTTGCTGGTTGTTGTTGTTGTTGTTGCTTTGCGATTAATTCTTGCAATTTGCACGCTTCAACACACGCCGCAGTCGACGTCGGCGTCGGCGTCGACGTCGGCGCTTACTTCTAATTGCATACACACAAATTACTCATACGCCGCGTATGCGCTCGCATAATTATCGCTTATTGCCACATCAAGACACTGCTGCGTGGGCAGTTGGCAAAAACAAATGCAACAACAACTGCAACAACAACAACAACAAAGTGAACGTCAGCTAACAATTCAGTTGCCAACAGCGCATCCTCCTCATCAGCAGCTGAATAACAATTATATACTTAAGCTTCTGTACGTGTGTGTGTTTATTTTTTTGCATTTGCCATTTTTTTTATTTATTGTTTAACAAATAACTATGCCCCCCTTTCCCCGCTCTCTCTCTCTCGTCTAGTGCGCGCCCTGCCCCTGCAATGAATTGCTTTTATGCGCTCATTTGCATATTAAATAAGCGGCTGGCTTCTGGCAGAGGCTGAGGCTGAGGCTGAAGCTGAGGCTGAGGCGCTGCAAGTGTGTTGGTTGTTGTTGTAGCTTGTTGGTTGTTAGTTGTTAGCTGTTAGTTGTTGTTGCTGCTGCCATGTGGTTAGTTTCTAAGCGGCAGCAGCTGCCGCCAATGCAAAGAACGTCGCCATCGTCGTCGTCGTCGTCGTCGTTGTAGGTTGGACAGCGTATAACGCGGGGCAGCTTTTTTATTTGCCGTGTTGTTGTTGTTGCTGTTGTTGGCATTTTTTCTTTTCTTTTTAAGTCGTATACTCGATTTGGTTTGTTGACGTAAAACAAAGAAAACGCGCCAACCGACTGCAGCAGTGGGCAACCCATGGGGCATATTACTGCCAGCTCGGAATAGCAAGTGCAAAAATTCATATACATATATCGAATGGAGTTATAACGAGAATAGGCCGCACGCCGAATGTTAAATACCCTTCTCTTACACTCTTGCTGATCATTAAAGATAAGTTTGGTACAGATATCTATATGATATGTAGATTATATTTCCTCCCAAAAACTAGTGCTCGAATCTAACCAATTTCCACACAAATATGCTGCCTAGATCAAATCATGATCAGACATATATATATGCATACATATATGCATGTATATGCCTTGTTTCTTCGGAGGTGTCCCCATTATAATACCCTCTACAGGGCTATATACAATCTATAATGTGTACAGTGAAACCTGTCAGGCATTGACAATTGATGTCTTGTGATTCATTGGCCAGTTGATTCATTAAGCATTTGACCAAGTTTTGCGGGTGCTGTTTTTACACCTATTTTAATTGATAAATACTCAGCCATAATGAAGTGTCATCCACAAAAAAAGCTAGAAAACGAATTTCAATACTGAACTGTATTCATCAATCATGAACTTTATGAATGAGCAAACCATTTACTTGCCAACTTTATTAAACTAAAAGGAAATAAACACAAAGTTCTACAAAAACTGTGTTAAATAAAAAGCTAGAGGTTAAAGATGCCGCCAGGCTAGAAAATTGCTTAAGTTCTTATAAAGTTGTGAGATTTAAGAGAGGGAAAGGGCATTTACTTTGAAGTTGGTTATTTAACAGTTTGCACTAATTTGAGATTGAGTTCTGGGTTTAATACTTATTATATTGAACAATTTTTCATATTCTTATCATGATTAAATATCGAAATGTTGAACCATCTGAAAATTGCTTGTGCTGAAAAGTATTTTACTGATTTAAACATTGCGAATAGATGATAAAATCAAGATACTACATTTTAAAAAGGGAGAGAAAATTGCTTGAGTTTTTACAAAGTTGTAAAAGTTATAAGAGAGGAAGGACATTTACTTTGGATTTGGGTATTAAACATTTCGATTTTATTCGAGATTGAATTCCTCTTGTCGTGATTAAATATAGAAATATTCAACCATCTGAGTTTCTCTTTTGCTGAAAAGTGGTATACCGATTTAAACATTGGGAATAGATCATAAAATCAAGATGCTACACTTAAAAAAAGAAAGATTTGTTAACACTCCAGCAATTTTTTAGGAAACTGGGCTTTTCCGCCTGATTTAGTTTGTAAACACATTAACTGAGAAGCGCATTGAGATGCGTTATGGGATACAAATCGGGCATGAATTAGTCAACAATTCAGCGAGTTAGTCAGCGAACATTACAATTGAGAAATAAAAATGCACAATTAGCTCTGACGCCAAATAGTTTGAATAGTTCTTAGCCCAGTTAAGACGAGATGCACACTCATTTTGCGAGCCTTATAAAGCGCAGATTTTCAAAAAAAAAAAAAAAACAATTAGCAAATAAATTTATGCGCCCAAAACTAACGCAAGCGAATCTCAATATTTATTCAAGCAACAATGGAGGAGAATGGAGGGTTGGATATTTATAAACAATATATCTACGAGTATTTATCGGAGCTCTGGTGACTATTTCTGCTGTCTTTTGGCGAAACAAGTAGTTGAATTTCCTTTTTCAAAAAAAACTTGGCTATTGACAGACAGAGAGTTAAACTTGTGCAACTGAGAGAGTGTGAGTGTGTGCTGTGTGTGTATTGTGTGTGTGACATTAAGCCGCACACAAACAAGTGCGCCATATTTGGCAATTGACTTTGCAGCCAAGTTAGAAATATCTATTTGTGTGTGCTCGCGTTTGGACTCAGTATTTGCCCGACACACACATATATACTATACATATATATATATATATATATATATATATATATATATGTATATATGCGTGTGTTTTTTAACTGTTTACGCTGCCCACTTGCGATGGCCAGCGGCTTGATAAATAATTTTAGTTTCATAAACACAAATTGACACTTTAAATTGTTTGCCAAAAACCGAAAAAGAAAAAAATCTTTCAGCGAATAAAAAATCTCGCATAAAGCATGAAATCAATTGGAATTAAGCCGGGCGACTTTGAAGCACGGCGCGTTGAGATTTGTTGCCCCCGGGTGCTTCAGTGTCTGGAACTCTGGAGTGTATCATAAACCTTAAGCACTCCAAGCACTTCGCGGAATCGCCCAGCCAGGTAGTCCCACTTGTTGCTGTTGTTGTTGTTGTTGCTGGCGAATCTGATTTGTATCGGCAAAGATCTAAGAGCATAGATGCCAGCCCTCTAATGCCGCTGCGGGGCGTTGCGTATCAAGAACAAACCGTAAACGAATTTATATGATCTTGAGAAACGAAACCTTGCCGGGGGGAGGGAGGGGAAGCGTGAGTTTCGCATTTTGTTTGCCAAACAGCCCGCGGCTGTCGCGTTAATTAATTGTTTGTCTTGCGATTACAGCCGATTTGCGCAATAACAATTACTATATATAAGCAGACGCGATTCTCTGCTAATTATTGCTGACAGATTTGTAGAGTAAATTTATGATTTATGAATGGAAATGGGCCAATAGGAAAACCCTATCAAAAATCTTCCCCTACTTTTATCTTTAATTAAAGATTTTAGAGTGATTCCTTCTCTATGCAAAGAGTGCAACAGCGCCACAAAAATTGAAATTCAATTAAAAATTTTCCAATATTTATTGATAAGCATATAAAGTTTTCCTTATGCCCCACATAATCTAGCCTTACTCATAAACTCGATTGTAATAGCTTAAGCATTTAATGAACTGCACTTGCTTGCGGGCTGTGGTAAATGGAGTAGAGGGAGGGAGGGAGGGAGGGAGGGACGGGGGGTAGTCTAGTGTTCTTATCAGAATTATTGTTCCGCGTAATTGATCTAGTTTTAACGCGTCGCTGGTCTAATAAATATTAATTCAACTGGCGACTTATGCAAGCAGATGCTGATCGCTAATAAGAAGGCAAACAAGAATTTATTTATTTATTATGGGCCAGCGAGCTGATAGCACTTTGTTAAATATATTATACTGTTTTCAAAATGAAACTTACCACATGAAAAACAAAAACAATAATTGTATAACACTGGCTGCCCAACACCTGTTGCACTTGCTGCTGCTCTTGTTGTTGCTGTTGCTGCTGCTCCAATTTGTGAATGAGCTTAATTGCATTTATCGATAGCACTTTGTTTGGCTTGCGTCAAAGTTATCGTTTCTCGTTTCTAGTTGTTATTGCAGTTGCAGTTGTTGTTGCTGTTGCTGTTGTTGTTTTAATTAGCAACACAAACACATTAACCAACACTAACACACACACAGACACCGTGCGACAGACAGACGCATGGCAGGGGGCGCCCACGCAACGTGCCAAAAGAAAACGCGTTTATTGAAAATGCAACTGCGACAGGCGACGACGGCAGCAGCCGCGCAAAGAACTTTGTTGGCTGCGCCGCCAGCGTTTCCAGCGGCTACCCAAAAAAAATATGTAAGCGCAGTCAAGAGAGAAAAACAAAATGACAACAAATTGCAGTGCCAAATTGCGAATTTGTTAATTTCGACTTCCCCACAGCGCAGTTACCGTAACCGATTCGTTGGAGCGCTCGCGACAAACTGAAAACAGATTGAAATTCAAATTTACCCGTCGTTCGTTCAGTTCGAATGCTTCTTCTTGCTGTTTTTCCCCCGATTTGTGTGTGTGCAAGTGCTACGCGTGCGCACCACGACTGCTCGCCTCGAATATCTAAAAGCGACTGAAGTTAAGAGAGATCGTTGCTGCCCGCTTACAATCATAAAGAGCGCGAGTCTTTTGCGGCCGCTCCACCACCAGCGCTCTCCCAGCGTGCGTACGGCATGGCGCTGTGTATGATTAACTATGATTAATAAATAAATAGGTGACCTGTTTATACATTTATATATATGAATGTATATTTCTGCACCTGCCCTTTACTCATTCGAAAAGTTCGAATGTCAGCTTTGCGTTTAACCAGCAATAGACAATTATCTCAAAAATGATTACAAGGAAACTCCTTTTCTTTTTCATTTAAATATATATTTTTGTATATATCGGAAGGCTATTATAAAGCATTTTGAATCGTAATTGTGAAAGTGATTTTGAAATACAAAAAGTAACCGACGGCGATAGCGGTATTTACGGTATACGATATGCGGTACTTACGGTATACGATATTTAAGTATTTACGGAACAATCGTGTCACTGGACTTAAGGAGCAAAAAAAAATGTATGAAAGCGGTTATAAGGAAAATCATTTGATTCCTGGATTAACACTCAATAAACAAAAAAGTTTAAAAAAGCTAGACAAATTGTATCGTTTCAAAATTAAGTTCTAAACTGAAGTGCACCTAAAATTGACCAAAACTAATTATTATTCAGCCCTGGTACAAACAGATGTTTTGAAGTGACCATCTGTGAGAGAACGAAGTTGCCATCTCTTTCAACTCGACGAACGCGAATGCGTCAAATTATTACATTTATAAATTAAAGTAAAGTGCAAGATGTTGGCCAAGCGAATGCAACTATGGAAAGCGACTCACGCGGCGCTAACGATGAATTCCACAGCCAACAAGGGTGCCACACAGGTAAGGAGCCGCTGACACCGCCGGCGACTGTCACCAGGGGTGCCCCTTATGACATAACCTGCAAAGCGCGGTTTATTATGAATGAAATGAAAGCCCATATTGAATAGAGGAACCTTTGCAGATGTTTCCAACAGGCGGCAGCAGTCGAGACATGCACTTGAGCAGCAGCTGGAGCAATCAGCTGCACGCTCGTGTCATGCTAGCGCCTGCGTCACCATTGATCCCAATCTATCCGTCTGCAGTAGCCGGTGGCCTGCGATATGCCAGCTCCAAGACAGACGTGCCGCCCATTTCGGAATCCGTCAAGGAGCTGGTGGACCTGCCTGCTATTCCAGATGCGCCTTTACCACCAGCCATTGAAAATGTTTCCACCGACGCGGAAAGCCTCATGGAAACTATTAACCTGGCAGGCGAACCAACATTTGCCTCCATTGGCCTGGGCGGCTGGTCGCCAGTGGGCATGGTACAAAACTGTATGGAGTTTCTGCATTGCACGTGGGATATTCCCTGGTGGGGCACCATTGCGATAGGTACGATCGTCGTGCGTACCCTAATATTTCCTCTGGTCATCCTCGCGCAACGTAACTCAGCCAAGATGAGTAACAACATGCCACAGATGCAGGTGCTGCAGCTAAAGATGACGGAGGCGCGTCAATCGGGCAATGCCATTGAATCGGCGCGGTATGCTCAGGAAATGATGCTATTTATGAAAGAAAAGGGCGTTAATCCCCTAAAGAATATGATTGTGCCATTGGCGCAAGCGCCGCTCTTCCTATCCTTCTTCATGGGTCTACGTCAGATGGCCAATACCCCCGTGGAGTCCATGCGCGACGGTGGCCTCTTCTGGTTCACGGATCTGACACTGGCGGATCCGTTTTACCTATTACCCGTAATTACCAGCGCCACGTTGTATCTGACCATTGAACTTGGCACGGACAGCGCGCGCCTTTCGGCTGCCAACATGAACACCATGAAGTATGTTCTGCGCGCCCTGCCGATTGTTATCTTTCCCTTCACTATGAACTTTCCCGCTGCCATTCTGACGTACTGGGCTTGCAGTAACTTTATCTCGCTGGGCCAGGTGGCAGTGTTGCGGATTCCCGCTGTGCGGGATTACTTTAAAATTGAAAAAATGGTGGCCCATCCGCCCAGTGCACTGCCGCCCAAGAAAAAGGGCTTTGTGGGCGGCATGAAGGAATGTAAGTTTAACAGCCATTCAAATGGGAACTATCTAATTTCGCATGCTCCTTGCAGCTTGGGACAACATGAAGATCACAAAGGAGATCGAGGAGCGACAGCAATTGGATGAAATTCGCTTTGCCAAGGCCGGCAAAGGACCGTTAGTGAAGACGTATAAGTACGATCCCACCAAGCCTCCAGTCCAAGAATCGACACAGCCTACAGGAAACCTTAAGCATCCCTCCAAGGAGCAGTAGCCACCGTGCTGTCCGTCGCGGTCAATGTGCGTTTGTTGTTAATGTTAGAACCGTACCCTTTAGTTTATCGATCCCACAAGTTGCTGCATATATCATATATGCTAAAAATTAATATATTTTCTATTAACAAAAACAACACGGACACATTGAGAATATAATAATAATAATAATGTGGTGTTTAACCCTTTGCCGATATACACTGGTTTATGACCTCGGCCAGGTGTTTGTTCTCCAGTGCCGCGGCAACGCGTTCCTTATCCGCCAGCTGTTTGTTCACGGCCATCTCGGAGGCGTGCGTACCTGGCGTTATCTCTACGGTCACCTTGAATCGGGGTGGCAGGGATCGCAGCAGCTTGACCCGTATGGAGAGACCAATCAGCGTGGCCATCGAGCAATGCGGAATCGTCGGGGTAAAGTTGATGTGCACCGAATTCTTTTTGTCGCTTATGGTTATGAGTTCCTCCTGTACTACGTGCAGCTCCTCCAGCGATAGCGGATGCTCAGGATCATTGATGTTTCGTATAAGATCTGCACTGGGTGCACGGGTACATATTGTATTTAGTAAAAATAATTATATTGTGCGTGTTAATTTGCTTACCAAAGATTTCTCGCTTATCAAAAGGATCGGCAATGCTCTCATCCTCTTCGTTGGCTGTTACCGCACGCTCCTTGATCTTGCTATAGACGCTCGGGTTTAAATTCTCAATTTCTGTGGGCATCTTTGCTGTTCTTACTGTTAATTTAATAAGCTATTTAACTACAGATTTTTACTACGCTTGATTTTAGCGGCCAGTGTGTACACGCTACATGTGCACGAAATAAACTCATTTTGCCAGAGAATATTTAAACTGCAGACTTTATGTACACACTGGCAGATCTAGAACGTTTCTCAATTTGAATTGATAATTTTAATTTGCGCAATTAAATTTGAATGCTACAATTAATCAATCAGGAACTTACAACTAAGTACAGTTTCCAGCAAAATCTTATTTATTCGCGCTAATATAAGCAGAAGTGTCATCTTACGTAAAACCGGTAATTAGAGGCGTTTCACAATTATATTTATGTGCATTTTAATTAGCCTTCCTAGTATTTGCACCCATTTCCAGACACATAGACGTGCGCAGATAGCTTTTTCGCAACAAGGTGCTAAATATAGATGACTAACTTGCCGGGTTCCCAAGATCGAGCAATGTTGATATTGAACAGACATACGTACATTTAGTTTATTCTGCCCACCTGACCAGGCGCACACAGCTCCGCCTTGAGCCACATTTAATGCTCATTCAAATCCATATTCATATACATATGTATAGACGGATAGCGGGTAGATAGAAATAAAATGGCATATGTCAAAAGATGCTGCGGTGATTTGTACAGCTTATAATTAGCTCGCATTATCATTTTAAAGATCAATAAGAAAAATAAATATATACAATAATATTGATATAGAAACTCGCTGGGTAAACAGCGTTAAGCTAGTCCGGTAATTATCATCAATTTACGAAATGGTTAACAACAATGTCAAACATATCACTACATACTAGTCCCGTCCAGAGATCCGCTGCCCCATCACAAACTTTCCATATAATGCGCCGGCAATCCAGCAACTCCAACAGTTCGCTGGAAATTTCATTTCAGCTCAGTCATCAGCTTCCGCCAGACAATGAGACAATTCGTAAGACCCGCTGGATTTTCTTCGCTAACATTTTTTGATAACATTCTCCATTGTACATGCAGCTGATTTTTGTGGCCCTGTGCGCCGTGTGCACTGCGGCTCCAGCTCCGGCTGATATTAAAGAAGCCGAACTGGCTCGTCCCAGCCCTATTAATCCGGCTGTTTTAAGTGATCCAAAGCCTGCCGAGAGGGTTGTGGTGCTGGGTGAGCCCGAGGTCAAGCATCGTCAGAAGCGTGATGAAGCTGCTCCAGCCAAGCCGCATTCTACCCAGGCTCACGATCTCCTGCAGCACAATCCTCACAGTGACCAGTCAGAGAAACCATCTGGACACGAGGACATTCAGCACGAATCCACAAAACCGAAGCGCGAGTCGCAATCAAAGCCAGCTGGACATGAGGCTGAGCAGCATGATTCTCATGCCCACGGTCATGATTCTCCAATAAGCGATTTGACACACGCTGCTACACAACACGAAACCAAGAAGTTGAAGCGCGATTCACCAGCAAGGCCAGCTGCACATGAGGCTGAGGAGCACGATGCTCATGCCCACAATCATGATGCCGCACCAGCCGGAGTTTTGGGACACGAGCGCGTACAGCACGAATCCACAAAACCGAAGCGCGAGTCACCACCAAAGCCAGCTGGACATGAGCACGATGCTCACCATGATGCCGCACCAACCGGCGTTTTGGGACACGACCGCGTACAGCACGAATCTGGAAAACCGAAGCGCGAGTCACCCCCAAAGCCAGCTGGACATGAGCACGATGCTCACCATGATGCCGCACCAACCGGCGTTTTGGGACACGAGCGCATACAGCACGGATCTGAAAAACCGAAGCGCGAGTCACCCCCAAAGCCAGCTGGACATGAGCACGATGCTCACCATGATGCCGCACCAACTGGCATTTTGGGACACGAGCGCATACAGCACGGATCTGAAAAACCGAAGCGCGAGTCTCCACCAAAGCCAGCTGGACATGAGGCTGAGCACCACGATGCTCATGCCCACACTCATGATGGCCCAGCCAAACCCCAGATCCTTCCTATATCCGCTGGACCGCATGATGGCCATTCGCGTCATCAGCGCGACATTCCTGTGCCCACAGAAATTAAGACCACATCCGCCCCAATCGAGCAAAAGGAAAGGCCCCAAGTTGAGGATTTGAATGACCATGTGCCGGCTGCTATCAGCAGCACCCCTCACAGTCCACTGCGTCATCATCCAGTGCCTGTTTCGGAGCTTTTCAACAAGCCCAAGACAACCGTCTAGGTCTAAAGAGGGCAAGGAGAGCAAGGAAGCCAAGGCCCAAGTCACGACCTCAACTTTCCTGTTAATTGCTTCAGCATGTTATGAGGAAGAAAACAAACCGAAGTCAAAAAATAAATAAAAATTTACAATACGAACACACTCACAAAAGCTATTTGCTATTTGCACAGAGCCTCGCCTCATCCGCCCTAACGCCAAAGTATTCGTCCGACTTGTACCCCCGCATGGCGCCATGTCAATATATGCATTCAGGCATATAAAAATTAATGATCAACTCACCTGACCAGCTCCACCTTGAGCCACATTTAATTCGCATTCAATATTCATACATTTAGTATAGATTCCGAGTAACAACTTGTATATGTCAAAAGATGCTGCGCTGATCTTTACAGCTTACAATTAGCCCGCTCTATCATTTAAAACATCAACAGGGAAATTAAATATACATACAATAATGTTGATACAGAAACTCGCGTAAAGCTAGTGCGGCAATTATCACTATTGAATAAATTTACAAACTGGTTAGCAGCCACGTCTAACACAGCCCTGCAGTTCCCGCCTAGGGAGCCGTTTACGCTGCTTTATCGCGGACTTTCCATAAAATGCCTCGACAATCCAGCAAATCCAACAGTTCGCTAAAACTTTCATTTCAGTACAGTCAAGTTTCCGTCAGACAATGAGAAAATTCGTAAGAGCCGCTGGATTTTCTTCGCTACCTTTGATTACTTTGATAATATTATCCATTATACATGCAGTTGATTTTTGTGGCCCTGTGCGCCGTGTGCACTGCGGCTCCAGCACCGGCTGATATTACAGAAACTGAAGTTGCCAGTGCCCGCCCTATTCCGGCTATTATTCAGGAGCTGCTTAAACCGACAGCGAAACCAATTGGACCCGATGCCGTTCAGGACGAATCCACGAAACCTAAGCGCGAGTCACCAGAAAAACCATCTAGCGTAACTGGACATGAGGCTGTACAGCACGATGAACATGCCCACAATCAGGATGCAGGAAAACCAGATCACGCTGTGCTACATGAGCCCGGACACCATGAATCCACAAAACCGAAGCGCGAGTCACCAGCAAAACCAGCTCATGAGCACAATCATGATGAGCCAGCCGTACCCGAGGTCCATATTCCAGTCACTCCACTCTGGCACGTGCCAGGGGAAGCCAGCAGCACCCGTCCTAGTCCACTGCGTCATCATCCAGTGCCCATTTCTGAGGTTTTGAACAAGCCCAAGACCACCGCCGAGCCCAGCAGCAGCAGCAGCAGCTCTGAAGAGAGCGAGGAGGGCAAAGAAATCAAGACCTAAGTCACGAGCTCAACTTTCCTGTTAATTGCTTCAGCATGTTTCGAAAAAGAAAACAGATCGAAGTCGTAACAAATAATTAAAAATATACAATTATATTAACACGCTCACAAAACTCATCTGCTAATTATTGACTAAACATCTAGTTAGGCGTTACGCACCGACATTCGTCTCATCCGCCCGGCTGCCAAAGTATTCGTCCGACTTGAATATGGGCACCGGCTGGAACTCGCCTTCGACCAAATTACTTTTGGGCGGCGTTCCAGACGTTTCTGTGGCGGATAGCCTAGCCCTTAATGGTTTTAGTAGCAGACCCTTAATGCTGTAGTCGGTTATATTGAGCTCCTGCTCAGCCACATCCACGGATCGCTCTACCTCGTTCAGGTTCTCGTTCACCGTGGCTACAAACTGTTCCAAGTTGTCGATTCGCTGGCGCAGTTCCCCAAAGTTTTCGCTAAAGCTCAGAATACTGCACACATGATTGGCCATGATACCGTTAGACTCGGCGCGCACCTAATACACATTAATTAATTCAATTAATTTATTTAGTTAGTGTATGTGCCCGAGACTTACGGAGGCCAAAACAGTTTCAAACTCGTCTAGTCGGGCCAGCATGTCGTCTATGTTGGTGCAGAGCGGATTAATCTGTCATTGATGGACATTGTTATTAGCAATTGAAAGCATTGTTATTGAACTATAAGCACCTCCTTTTCCAAATCCGCGCTTTGTATAATTTTAGCATAATCCTTTGCAGTCTGTTCAACCATTTCTTTGTGGCATCTGTTGCTGCCAACAGACAAAATATCAACAAGACGAAATAGATAACCGATGAGACAATAATCGATAGCTAACAGTATTTGACAGCACTGCTTGGCGTTAGGGCAGAATGTTGAAAATTTAAGGCATTGCGTTAAAACTAAATTAAAAATTAAGTTAAACATTAACGCTTAATGAATGCCGAAGCACAAATGTATCTGGCTGATAAGTTTAAAATTTCGATTTGTTCGTCGTTAAACTATCGCAGTGCAACTATCGTATATATATCGTTAGCTACCAGACACCGCTTAGTTCAGTGCTGGGCAACGACAACTGTGATTAGGTTGGCAACAATGCGCATCTTGCAAATTCTATTCTCGCGTATGTTGTATTGATTTGTGCTTCGTTTTAAAAAGCAAGAGGAATTTCGAGCCCATCGCAGCCATGAGCAACTACCGCGGCATCGGAGGCGGCGGCTTTCCCTACAAGAAGCAGCCCAGCGGCGGCAACAACATGAGTGCAGTGCCCCCGCCGCCGGCTTTAACCAATAGCCGTGGAGGCGGCGGATTTCGATTCAGCTTCAACCAGGCCAGAGGCGGTCTGGCATCTGGTGCTACAGCGAGCGGCAGCACATCGAAGCACGGCTACTCGACGCTCGAATCGATTAGCCAGTACACGAACTCCACAAATTTTGTGGGCAAGCGCAAGCAGCACATGGACGACGATTATTTTGACGACGACGATGAGCAGCATCAGCAGAAGGCCCAGCCGGAGCAGGCTTATATACCGGCGCCTGGATCGCCGGGCGCGATACCGACCGCCAAGGATGACACCGACTCCGATGAGGATCCGTTGGAGCAGTTCATGGCTGGCATCAAGCAGCAGGTGGAGAAGGAAAAGGTGCGTGCGACAGATCCGCAGCAAAAGACAACCGTCGCGCCGCTTGAGAAGAAGGGCGTGCGCCACGACATTGACGACGAGGACGATGAGGAGAGCTACTACCGCTACATGGAGGAGAATCCCAATGCGGGTCTGCGTGACGAGGGCTCTGACCAGGAAATCGATTACGACGAGGATGGCAATCCCATAGCGCCGCCCAAGAAGAAGGATATTGATCCGCTGCCGCCCATCTATCACTCGGAGATTGAATACGAGCCCTTCGAGCGCAACTTCTACACGCCCCACGAGGACATTGCCCAGCTGGACGAGGAGCAGGTGCGCGAACTGCGTCGCACGCTGGGCGTCAAGGTGAGCGGCGCCCTGCCACCCAAACCGGTCAGCTCCTTCGGCCATTTCGGCTTCGACGATCTGCTGCTGAAGTCCGTGCGCAAGGCGGAGTACACACAGCCCACGCCCATACAGGCGCAGGCAGTGCCCGCAGCGCTGTCCGGGCGTGATATCATTGGCATTGCCAAAACGGGCTCCGGCAAGACGGCTGCGTTCATCTGGCCGCTGCTCACCCATCTGATGGATCAGCGCGAGCTGCGCCCGGGCGATGGACCCATTGGCCTGATCCTGGCGCCGACGCGTGAGCTCTCGCTACAGATCTACAACGAGGCCAAGAAATTTGGCAAGGTGTACAACATAAATGTGGTCTGCTGCTATGGCGGCGGATCCAAGTGGGAGCAGAGCAAGGCGCTGGAGCAGGGCTGCGAGATTGTGGTGGCCACGCCCGGGCGCATGATCGACATGGTCAAAATGAAGGCCACCAACTTGAGGCGCGTCACATTTCTGGTGCTCGACGAGGCGGATCGCATGTTCCACATGGGCTTCGAGCCGCAGGTGCGCTCCATTTGCAATCATGTGCGCCCGGATCGCCAGACGCTGCTCTTTTCGGCCACGTTCAAGAAGCGCATCGAACGCCTCGCCCGTGACATTCTCACCGATCCGGTGCGCATAGTCCAGGGCGATCTGAACGAGGCCAATCAGGACATCACTCAGCATGTTTACGTTTTTCCCAATCCGCTGCAGAAGTGGAACTGGCTGCTCTGCCATCTGGTGAAATTCCTCTCCGAGGGCGCCGTTCTGGTCTTTGTCACCAAGAAGGCGGACGCGGAGACGGTGGCCAACAATTTGATTGTCAAGGAACACAACTGCCTGCTGCTGCACGGCGACATGGACCAGGCGGACCGCAACAGGGTCATCACGCAGTTCAAGCGCAAGGAGTGCGACATTCTGGTGGCCACCGATGTGGCCGCCCGTGGCTTGGACATACCCCACATACGCAACGTGGTCAACTATGACATTGCCCGGGACATTGACACGCACACGCATCGAATTGGACGCACGGGCCGTGCGGGTGAGAAGGGCAATGCCTACACCCTGGTCACCGATAAGGACAAGGAGTTTGCTGGCCATCTTGTGCGCAATCTGGAGGGCGCCGATCAAACGGTGCCCGACGATCTCATGGAGCTGGCCATGAAGAGCTCCTGGTTTCGCAGCTCGCGCTTCAAGCAGGGCAAGGGCCGAAAGCCCGCCAACAATTTCATGGGCCTGGGCTATCGCGAGCGCTCTGGCAATGAAGGAAGCGGAGATGGTGGTGGTGGCGGCGGCGGCGGCGGCTCCGCTGGCCCTGGCAAAGGTCCAGTTGCCGATTTGAACAAATCCGGCGCCGGACCCGCAACTGATCGCTATTCGGCCATGCGCCAGGCGTTCCGTTCGCAATATAACTCACAATTTCGCGCTTCCAGCGATCGCACCTGGGAGCAAACGGTGCCGGAGACGGGCGTCTTTGCAGCGCCGCCGCCGCCGCCACCACCACCAAGCGGCGGTGGCTCCTCCAACTCCAGCAGCAACAGCAACAGCAATCAGGATGCGAAGCGTGCCAAGAAGAGTCGTTGGAACTGAAAAACCTGAATCGAAAGCAATCCTCCTTTAATTTCATATTGTTTAATGTGTATTTGCTTTTGTTTCATTTAAAATTACAACTTAAAGGCTACCATTAAATATATATATATATATATAATATATATTTATATATATATATATATATCCATTATATATTATTTTAGGGAAATACTCGTATATACACGCTCCATTCACACTCAGCCAATGCCGATTCAATAAAAATGTCATTAATTGTAATTCTGTATCATTTATTTTTGTTTTGTTTTGTTTTCGTTTTCTTTGTTTTTCTTTTTTATGTGTATTTTATTTTGAATAAAATCACATTTGCGCATATTCCATGGCCTTAACTGACCCCGAACCGGTTTCAATTTTGTTTGTCGTAATTTTACTTAACCACAATTTCTCGCAGTGCACAGTTCAATAACGGTTTCGATGCTCTCGAATCGAATCGAACCGATCTGGCAGCTCGCTAAAAAAAACCACCGTTAAAACTATGCACTGCAAAAACAATGTGGCCGAGTTATATATATTTTTGTTTTTATAGTATTTTTTAAGATTTGGTTTTTCTTTAGCGTTTTTTTTTTGGGTTTTTTTTTTGTCTTGTCTTTTTGTAGAAGCGAGAAAAATGTCGAAGCTATTCGTAAATTTATGAAATATTGTTTTACAATGAAACCACTACGATTTTTTTTTATTTTTTTGTTTTTCTTCTTGTGTTTTTTCGTTTTGTTATGTTTTTCTTTTTTGTTCAATAAGAGTACGACGATAAGCATTATATAATAATTTAGCATATGGTTTGATATAACATTGAGAAAAGTTGAGATTCATTTAACTACCACATTGACGAGATTTTGCATAATTGTTTTAAGCTTTTTGTTTTTCTTTTTTTGACTTTGGAATAGCTCGAGAAGCAATTAATTCGCTTAAAAATTTTGCTATGTTGTGTTAATTCTTTTAATCGTTTTCGTTTAAATTTTCTTTTCTGTTTTATATGTATAATTATTATAATTATCATATAATTGTTTTTCGGTGTGTGGGTATATTATATGTATGTATAAAAATTGGTCCATGTTAACCACATTGTACAAAAAAAAGGAATCAAAAACTGAAATCAGGGAAATAAAATAAGGAACTAAAACAAATAAGGCATAAGAAACTCAAATTGATTTTAAACAATACTCTTTTATATATGTATTTTTTATTTATATATATATATATGTATGTATTAATTAATTTTTGTTTTTTTATTCATTGTTTTTTTTGTTTGCGTGTTTTGTTGTTGCCGCATGTAACATACATTTCGATATATACAAGTTTATGTTTATTTAATTATATTTTATATTTAAGTTCTAGCGTTAAATTTGATTTAAATTTTTAATAGTTTGTTTGCGCTCTCTAACCTGCCTTAAAATACAAGTATATTCTGTTTTCTTTTGTTTTGTTTTTTATTTTACAATTAATATTTTAACTTTATGCTTTTTTCTGTTGCTGCGTATTTTTCTTTCTTTCTGTTTTTTGTTTTTTTTTTACGGCGCTAAATCAATTAATTTTATAGGCTTTAAAAAATAATTAAAATTATGCAACAATTAAAATGTAAATGTTTTCATTTTATAAATGTAATAAAATTGTTGGGATTTTGTTTTTGTTTGCTCATGCTTCCCTTTTACTTGTATTTTTTTATCATTCTTTACTTGTAATCATTTACTGTGTTTTAATAGTTGTTTTTGTTTTTTACTTTCTTTTAATACTTTGTACAATAAACAAGAAACATTTCACATACGAAAATGTCAATCAAATGTTTGAAGAATGCTTTGGGCTCCATGAAAATAATTATTATTTTTCGATAAATGAGAAAAACGATAGAAAACTTTTTTTTTTTTTGTTTGGGCCAACACGAAAATGAAACATTTAAATTCGTTAATTTCATTGAAGGAATTTTTTTTACGCTCTCAAAACTGAAATATTTATATGGTATAATGACTGTTTGTTTGTTGTTGTTGTTGTTGTTATATATATTTTTGTTGGTTTTTTTTCTCTTCTTTTTGCTTTAAATTAAATGCCAATTAATTTAATTAATTAATTTTTAAATCACATTTCATTGTTTTTCAACACTGCATATTCAAATTTTTGCATTTTCTGCTACGATTTTGTGTTGTTTGTTGTTGTTGTGTGTGTGTGTGTGTGTGTATGTGTGTGAGGAAACGAAAATGTTTTTGTTTTTTTTGAATTACGCAACTCGCTATGGTGCACAATTCATTAAAATTAATAATACTATATACAAATATGGTTTAGGCCATTTTTAATTTTTGTTTTTCGTTTGCATTTTTTGTTAAGGAATTTCTCAAATCATTCGCTTCATATCTCAACTACAACCACAGGCGTTGTGCAACACTGGACCGGCGCCGTTAACAACCACTTCGCAACACTGCTTAGTCAAATAACGTGGCCAGCAAATCGTCGCTAGCATTGTTATTGCTACTGCCACTGGACGGTGGCGTATTTAAATCCGGCTGCGGATCCAGGTACGACAGGATTTCCATTGGATCCATATCTTGCAACAGCTGTAAGTACAACAAAATTTAGATTAATTCCTCTTTATGGGCTATTCGTTGCGTGCAGTTTACTCGTTACTTTGCACTCGTTACTTTGAAAACTCGTTACTTACATTCAAATCGTGCCCGTTGTTGTCGAGACCGGCCGCGGAGGGATCAAAGTTCTGCAGCTCGGCGCTCAAATCGCTCTCAAACTTGAGCTGCGTCTGGCTGCTCATGAGCGAGTTGAGCAGCTGCTCCTGCTGCGACTGTTGCTGCTGGCTGTCCGCGTTGGACATGCTGGTGCTGCTGCCCAGACTGCGGCTGGGCGTGCCCGGCGTCTGTGGTGAATTGTGTCCGGTGCTGTTGTTGTTGTTGTTGTTGCTGTTGTTGTTGCCGCCGCCATTAGAGGCATTGGGCGTGCCGCCACTAATGGGCTCATTGTGGGACGAGCTAACGCTGGGCGGACCACCAGGCGTCATCGGATGACTGGCGGCGCCAGGCGTGTGCGGCGTGTGTGGCATCTGTTGTAACAGAAGCAGGCAAGGATTAGCTAGGTTTAGACATAGTCGAGTTGAGCTGGAAAAGCTTACCTGATCGCTCAGCGATTTCTCCATGGCATTGAGCTGATCCAGCGAATTGACGCCGTCGCTGTTGGCCAGGCTGTTGGCGTCGCTGTGGCTGCCACTGAAGCTGTCATAGCTGCTGCGTGTGCCACTGTGGAGGAGATGAGGATTAGCTTTGCTTGGGTCAATAAGATGGTATTACTTACAGCTGGGCGCCGTTGGGTGCATTGTTGTTGCCCATCATGTTGCCGTTGGCAATGGAATTCATGTCGTGCATGTTGTATGGACTCATGGCCTGAGAGTTGTCCCATGTGGGCAGCTGTGTGGAGCCGGGTGACATGACCTTGGCGATGTCATCGCACAGCTCCTGCTTGATGGCGGGCAGGCCGTTGCCCACGCTGCCCACGCTGCCGACGCTGGTGTTGCTGCTGCTGCTGCTGACGCTGCCGTTGTTGTTGTTGTTGTTGCTGCCGGCGGCGGCGGCAGCAGAGCTGCCGTTTGGTGGCGCCACATTGGGGCCTGTCGGTGCGCCCGCTTGCGGCGGATTGGGCATACCGCCATTGTGCTGCAAGGCGCGCCAATTGGCCGACGAATCAATGATCACCTCATCGACATCGGAGGTGCTCAGCGTGTTGAGTATGGCCCAGATGTACTGATCGATTTCCAGGGTATCGGTTATGGCCGACTTGCTGCACTCCGGACAGCGCCAGGAGCCGCGCTCGCTGTTGATCATCAGATAAGCCTCCAGATCGAAGCATTGGACATGCTTGCACTCGTGCCCGCGCGCCGGCAGGCGTATTCGACTCTTCGTAATGGGACACTTCAATGAGATCTTGGCGCACTGTTGCGCAGCATCCGGACTGCCGCCATTGGTGACAACACCGTCCGCACCGACGCTGGGCAGGCTCAGGTTGCGCTTGATCTTCTGCACGCTGTGCTCCAGCGGCAACAGATTCCGCTTGTGCAGCGTCTGCAGCACCTGGCGCACCGATGGCCGATGGACTAGTTGCAGCACAAACAGATGCGACTGCCAAAAAGAGGGGGGGAGAGGAGAAATGATTATAGCGGGTTACACGGGATTGGTCTGGTCCAGCTGGAGACTTACACAACAACAGGAACTGGCGGTCAGCTGCAGCGTATTGCGTCCCGGCTGGCAGACAGCCTTCAGATAGAGCGGACGCAGCGCCGTGCTGTTCTTCTCGGAGCGCTCGATATTGAGCGGTGTGGCATTCGCGGAGACGGTGACGGTGTGCGGCCAGTTGGTGTTCATCTGGCGATCGTCCTGGTGGAAGCATTTCAGCTGCAGCTCCAGATCGGTGCTGAACGAGAAACGGATTAATTTCTAGCCGGGATTAGGGCGCAGCTGGGTGGGGGGGACTTACCGGCACATCAGCGTATTGTAGACATTCTGCTTCAGATGGAACACATGATTGCTCACCGAGAGATTGTGGAGCAGGCGGAACGGTGGCAGAATGATGCCATCGCGCACCGGGAATGTCAGTCTCATCTCTTCGCCTGCACAAAAAAGCATTTGGTTAATGAATATGTGCCTCAATGGTGTCTGGCGAGTATATACTTACTGCTGTCCATTGGCGGCTTGATGTCCGGATTGGGGCTGACATAGGGCACGCTGCAGGCGGGCGTCAGCGGCGGCGTCGGATTGCCAGGAACTGGACTGTGCTGATAGTTTTGCTGGAAACTGTAAATGGAAATGATTGGAGTTGAGCAAGTGCCTCCATGGAGTGTTAGGGTGTTGTTGGCTTACCCTTGATTCTGGTAGGGATTGCTGGTGCTGGCAACGGAACCCGGTCCAGCCGGGCACATGCCGCCTTGGCCAGCGCCCACGCCCATGCCGCCAGCACTGCCGCCGCCGGGATAGAATTGGGCCTGATGTGCGCCGGCAGCGGCGCCATAGCCGACACCAGCGCCGCCTGCTTGGGGCACAAAACGCTGTTGGCCCATGCAGCCGGGACCGGGTCCCATGCCAGCAACACCCATAGGCATCATGGGTCCGCCGCCCGGGCCCATTACCGGCCCGCCATTCGGTCCTATGCCATTGCCGGCTGATATGCGTCCGTAGGCGCCTGCGCCACCGCCGCCGCCGGCCATGGGAACAGCACGTCCATAGCCATTGCCGGCGCCCGCTTGCATGGGCAGGGGCACGCCTGGGACACCGCCGCCGGCGGCGCCCGGATGCATCTGCTGGCCGCCGTACATCTGCGGCGGCTGCTGCTGTTGCTGTGCAGGATTCGGATACATGGCGCCGCCAACGCCAGCGCCGGCGCGCTTCTGTGCCATGTGCATCTGCGGATGTGGATACGGCGCCATGCGGCGCTGCTGCTGCTGCGGCAGCTGTTGCTGCTGCTGCTGCTGTTGCGGATAGCCGCCGTTGGCCATGCCCTGCATCTTGGCCATGGGATTCATGCCGGCCATTTGCTGGCCAATGCCGCCACCGGGTCCCATCGACATGTTCTGCATTTGGTTCATGGGCGTCATCTGAATCGAGAGAGAATTTATTGTTATAGAATATTCCATGCTAATCTCTAATCCAAATAGATGAACTCGCGGCACGTGCGAGTCGCCTTTGTGGCTTTGCGTAAGTGCAACACGCCAACTGTGGCTGCTAATTGCTCCAACACTCTGTTGTTGTTGTTGTTGTTGCTTTTTCATATGTCACACAGCTGCTTGGCCGTAATTAGCCGCAGACCCCTACCCCCTACCCCTTGCCCCTTACCCAGCCAGCCAGAGAGTTCCCTACCGCAACGTTTGCCCAGTTGCTGCACTTTGCCCACATCATGCAAACAATTAAATTTGTTATTGAAAGCGCATTCAAAGCCGCCAACTGCGCCGCCAACTGCGCCGCAAACTGCGCTGCCCAGTAGCCAAATGGAGCCAAATCCGAATCCAACCGAGCCCCAACCTAACCGAGCCCGAGCCCGAGACCAAGCCCCAGCCGAACCGTGTCGAGTCGAGCCGAACTGAGAACTGTACCGAGACCATAAAATCCGTTCAGAGATTTACCTGCTGTTCGTTAAGTCGTCACAACTTGCGTAATTGTACTGTCCCCCCCTCTCTCTCTCTCCTCCCCTGCCCGTGCTCCTCCCTTTGTCACATGTTTGCCATATTCTCGCATGACCTTGCCCATATGGAGGGTTTTATGGCAGTGTTATGAACGCCCGTTAAACTGCGATCCAACTGATCTAAGCATATAAAAGTTTAGATATTGCCATATAATCAATCTGGTATATAGACTAGGGGACTGGTAATTACTTTTAGATATTGAACTTTTTCTTTGAGTTCCCATTAAGGAAATGCTGATTAAGAGATTTAATAGTTACTCTTTGGGCTTTCTTTGCGGCTTAAAAGGTCTACTGAAATTTTTTAAAAGTTTCTTTCAACATTTCCAACAATAATTAAAAAAGTGTTTCCAAGTTCATTAAAATATTCAACAAAATCATTTTCTTCAAAGATTATTCAACATTTTTTTTTTGAAAGAGTATTTTAATTCCTAAACATCATAAGTTTCGCGTTTGCCAACACTACAGAAAAAATATCCCAAGCTAGTTACTCAAGTAAACTTTTAGCCTTTCCATAGCTAAGCCCTCGCGGTGCTAAAATTCCCCAGCTAAAAATCCATATAAACCTTTAGCTTTTTTAAAGCCTAAAGCTCATGCTTTAACAAAGCTGACTTTCGCCTTTTTCCGCCAATTGTCTTTGAGAAATTCATCAGAAATTCAATTTAGATTTCGATGCGATGTTCTGTTCTTTGCTTTCTACTCTTTTTTGTGGCGCGTTTGTACGTAAATGGGGGAGGCGTTCATTAAAAACAATCTGTTTATGGTAAGAAATGAATTTGAAATGCCAACAGCTGGCCATAAGCCGGGTTTGAGGAGAGGGGAGAGGGGAGTGGGGACTTGTGCAGCTACCGCTGCAGCTGCAGTCATCGGATGAAGTCATCAATTGGATTCGATTCTACTACTCACCTGATGATGCCTTTGTGCGGCCGCATTGCCGTAGCCCATGCCGGCCATGCCCATGCCGCCCTGGCCGCCAGCGTAGCCGGCCTGGCCGCCTCCGTTCATATATTGGCCATTGCCGTTGCCCATCATGCCGCCATTGGCAACCGGATGCATGCCGCCGCCCATCTGCAACATTGGAATGGAAGTGTTAGGGAGCTCTGCTCTCTTGGCCTCCAGGCACTTGTATCCTACCTGACTGTAGCCGCTCATGGCGTCCATATTGGACATGTGTTGCTGTTGTTGCTGCTGCTGCTGCTGCTGCTGTTGCTGCTGGCTGGCTGCTGCTGCTGCTGCTGCGGCTGCTGCTGCCACCATATTAGGATAACCAGCGCCGACGCCCGCTTGGGCCTGTCCGCTTTGGCTGCTCGAGCTGCTCAGGCCGCTCAGTGAACTGGCCGAGCTGTTGCTACCGAGCGAGGTGAACTCCGAGTTGGGACCGAAGGTGTTGTTCAGGCTACGCAGGCTGTCGCCGCCGACGAGCTCATTGCCTAGCATAAAGTTGCCGCCGCCCACAGAGCGTGGATGTTGCTGCTGCTGATGTTGTTGCTGCTGATGTTGCTGCTGTTGTTGTTGTTGTTGGTGTTGCTGCTGCTGCTGTTGCTGGTAGGCCAAGAAACTTTCGCGCTGTTGCTGCTGATATTGCTGCTGTTGCTGTTGATTATAGTACTGTTGTTGTTGTTGCTGTTGTTGATGTTGCTGCTGTTGCTGCTGCTGCTGCTGTGCATCCACGATGCTTGTGCTGCTGTTGGTGCTGCCACCTGGCGGTGAGATTTGGCCCCCTGTGGCTGGCGCCCTTGAGGAGCCTGCCTGCTGGTTCATTTCATCATTTTTTCTGAAAGATTCATAGCAAACATAATAATACGAATTAGCTGGCATCATTCCATTGAGGGGCAGATACAATGCAGTGGGCGTGTCAGCCGCAGCCACCCGCCGCCACATAGTCGAAAAATAGATCAAAAATTAAACACAGCTCAGTTTTCCAATCAAGGCGAGTTCTCAACGCGAAAGCCAATTTCACTACAATTAGTTTCGAGAAATTTGACAAATTTTGATAGTAAAAACCAAATAAAAAGTGACAGGCGGCAGGCAATGGGGGAAGCCAAAGCAGGAACAAAGTGAAGATCCGTTAACAGATACATATATGATATTTGGGTAAATAAGTTCTACTTAATTGAAGATGTGATACATGGCGATGTTTTATGAACTCATTTAAATCATATTTATTTTATTTACAATCTATCTACAAATGAAAAGCAAATTAATATTAATACTCGTTTATGATTAACAAGTTTTCATTGATTATTCCAATAAGCAATTATGTTTTTTCCATTATTCCAAGTACCTCGCTGCACTTCTCAACACTGCGCACGATTATATTCTGCTTAACTTTATAAATATCCCTGCGTATTTATCGTATTCTATGAGTCAGTTAATACACTGTAAATACTTGATGTTTCTTTGGTCAATTTTTCTCGAAGCGTGCCTCGAGACGCGGTACGTTTGCAATTGTCAAGTCGATTGTAATGGGCGCAGTTTTCTGCCTGGCTGTGCCTCATCGATGAGGTCAGCTTAATGCTCACGTTAACAACAACATCAAAATGATCGTCATTATCTTGATCATCATCGTCTCCTTCGTCATCAGCATGCACATTTCATCATTGTCAAACACTGTCATTCATTTAACACGCAGCTGTTGCTGTTTTATTCGAATTGCATTTTGTTCGCTTCACTTGTCGCACAGTTGCGTTTCTTCATCTTCTACTTCTCTCTCTCTCTCTCTCTCTCTATTTCTTCTTCTGCTCGTCTCTTTGACATTTAAAGCCTAAAATGTCAAATGGGCTCAGGGCCTGAGCACCGCCAAGCACGCCGCCCTCATTGCCCGCTTTGCTTAAACCGCGCTGCGCAGCGTCTCTCGCGTCGCGTCGCGTTTCGTTTCGTTGAAATTGTTTTCGCATTCGCATTCGTTTTGATGGAGCGACTTTTAAGGTAAAAATAATTAAGCATATTTGCCAGACAACAACAGTAACAACAACAGCATTGAGCATATGAAGCATCGAGAACACAAACACAAAACGCAATGCGAATTGGAAAAGTACAAAATACAAAAAATAGAATGCAAAATAAATAAATAAAGAGAAAACAATACAGAAATATAAAGTAACACGCTCACAATAATTGCGCATCTACAAAAAGCAGCGCCGCGCAACAAAAGCAAATACAAAAAAAAATACAGTATGAACAAAAAGAAAAAGAAAAAAAACAGAACACACACGCACATGCACGCGCAACAACAAAAATGGCAAATGTAAATAAATAGCACACTAAGCGATTGGCTGATAATCGCATGACGAGCGCTTTGCCGGCGGCCGCTAGTTACGCGCGGGGGTACTCTCCGAGAGGTGTGCGGTATTAGTTCGGCATTCAAGTGGATCTGTGATTGTGGCTGTGACGATAAATTTGCATTGAGTTCAACTAATCGTTCGGGCGAGTGGCAAAGAGAGGTGCGGCGGCGGGCACACAACAACAAGTGCTCCCAAGGCGCTCCGAATGCGGGTCAGCAGGTCAAGCTAAAATCACTGCAGCCGGACAGGATTTTGTGCGACACGATTCAAGGCTGACAAAGCAGCAAATTACAGTTGAAAAATTGACAGCCTAATAGGCGAGGAGGGGGGAAAGGAGACATGTTGATTAGAAACTGCGCTAAGCGCATTATTTGGCAGATTGGTTCATCTGGTGAACCGGTTCTTTTGAGGTGAGCATTACTTATTAAAACATTTGACATGGTTCGCTTTCTACGCTGCTATAGAAAAAGCTATAATAAATATTCCGTCTTTCTTTGCAGATAAAAAGTGTATGAAGATAAGATGGCAACGTGTTTGCCAGATGCTACAGGAGAAATTCCAATGAAGTGCTTGCTTGTGATTTATTTTGTTTGGTAAGTGCATTAAATTATGCTTATTAAATTCCCATGAAACATTCGCTTTTGTTGCATTTGTTTGTTTAGTTAGAGCATTTAAATATTCTGTTTAATTTTGTGCTCTTCGTTGCTGTTTTTATCTAATTATCTATCGAGTTACAGTTATGAGCAAGTTCCTGTTAATGTGTTGGCTGCTGCCTTATAAACAACATAACCTTCACAGCCAGCCAGACAGATTTTACATTCGAAAGAGGGGGAGAGAGAGATAGAGAGAGGGAGTGGTCGCAAAAAGTGCAAGGTGTAAAACAAATCAGCAGAAGAGAGCGGCCCGTTAGATGCATGCTGGTTGAGCTGCTGAGAGAGAGGCAAACATACAATTTAGTTGTTTTAGGGGAAGAGGGAGAGGGGGGAGGGGGACTACATAGGTTTGTCATATAATCGTCAAGTTTGTTTCTCGTTACGCTTTGTTTTGCCTCATTATGTGAATAACTATTTGCATTACATGGGCGATGAGCGATTGAAAGCGAGAGATTGAGTGGGAGAGAGAGGAAGGGGTACGCTGTGTATGCGCGTGTTTGTGTGTGTGTCGGATGACGCTGTTGGGCACTTGTTGTTGTTGCAGTTCAGTTTTTGTCTGTTGTACTTTGATTAGATATAAATTTCTTTATTGATTAGATAAAATGAACGCGAAAAAACAAAACCGAAAATAACAAAAAAAAGACAAGGTAGACAAAGGAGAGCACAAACAGATGGAGATCAGTACATGATCTGACCCCGCTCTCGCCCTCTCTTTCGCTCGCATGCTCTCTTGCCGCTAGCTAATTGTAAGTTGCGCGCACTTCAATTTGCGGCGGTCATAAAAAACGTTTTTTTTGAATGATTTCCGTGTTGATGTTTTTTTCTATTTCATATAAAAAGCTAAAACATTGCGAGTTTTCCGAGACGTAGTTGAAAAATAGTATTTTTTTTTCGCCTTTTTTGGAATTTTGACTTCTTTACGCTCAGCGAACTTTCAGTATTAAGTCCGAATTTGTTTTTTTTTTCTTTTGTTTTATGGCGTGGTTGGGGGCTTGTCTGTGCAGAGGGTTGATTATGTCAGCAGTCAAATGAAATATGTGTTTTTTATATGTTCTTCACAGGGAATTAGTGGTCGGAGCGGCAGGCAGCAGGGGCGGGGGCGGGAGCAGGGGCCACACAATATTGCACAATATGTAGCCGTATATTGTGTCTGGCTCGAGTTCATGATTGGCAAATGTCTACGGCAAAAACGCTTTGCGGAAAAAAAAACAAGAAAAATAAGTGCAAAAGTTTTATTTATTATTATTATTTTTGTTACTGTTTTTTTTCTTTCTATTTTTTTATCTTATGGTTGTGATTTTGCGCTGTTGTCGTGTGTTTTTTATAGACGACATTTGGTGGCGCGTGTAAAGCAAAGCGGAATGTAGAAAAAAAATAGAGAGCCGTAAAAAATTGTCAGACACGTGCGTGAAACAACGAATGGGCAGCGGCTAGTGAAGCGGGGAGAGGTAGTGGGGGGGGGGGGGGGGTGAGGGAGTAGGGTGTTGCGGCAATATGCATAAGTTTTGATATCAATAGACTTGAGAGCCTTAATTCTTTTTTTCGATCAGGCACCAGGTTGCATTTGGGCAATATTCAATAAATTTGGGATGAAACATGACAGAAGTGCGACAGAGGAAATGCCATCAGAGGCGGCCGCTGGACAACTGTAAGGCAATTAAAAAAGCCAACACAGAGAGACACACACACATACACACGCACACACATATGGAGATATGCTCTGTATTTTTGGTGTAAAAAGCAATCACATGCAAAATGTTGAAAGACAGTCAACAGAGACAAAAAGAGAGGGAGAGCGACAGAGAAAGAGAGGGAGTGTGAGAGAGAGGGAGACAGAGTGTGAGTGAGTTTCCTGTTCCATCAGTCTTTATACAATACCTCGTCGTACTGGTTCCACATTTCATAAACCATGTGCAACCCCCGCCCTCTACCCCACGCGGCGGCTGCTGCTGCTGCTGCTGCATTCGATACCCTCTCGAAATGCGTTTGACAGTTGTTTTCAAGGGTGTTTAATGCTGAGCCGCCACCAAAACCGAACCGAACCAAACCGAACTGAACTGAACTGAATCGCATTGTATGCCATGCCCAACCATGTCTGTCCGGAGCCCAGAGCCCAAAGCCGGGCTCTCCGTGCGCCTCTATCCAATTGCATTTTGTTGAAATTTGTGTGCCAGAGTTTTGTTGTTATACCCTTTCGAGGGGTTACTATAATTTTGGCACGAAGTGTGTAAAGAAATATATATTACCATTATGTAAGATATATATTCTTGAGCAGTTTCAACAGAAGAATCGATTTAGCCAACTAGGCTCTCAGTATTATAGATATTGTCTCTAAATGTTGCATACTTTCGTTTTTCTGTTAAGGGATCGACTGGAACGGAGCTCTTTATATATATATATAAATATATATAGATCTGATCATACACAAATTGAATTTCGGCATGAAAACCTTTTCTGTCTCTCAAGATATGTTGACCCAGCTTGAACATTCTGCTCACATGTCTGCCAAATGTTAGGCCTTTTGTCTGGGAGAGCGTTTAATCTTCGGCTTGCCTGTAACAGTCGTCCTTTCTAGTTTTTTTGTTCTCTGTCGTGTTGAAGTTCTCATTTTTTCCTTTTGCGTCGCGGCAATATTCCTTTTGCAATATTCGCATGTCACTGCGGCGCCGCATTGTTGAGGATTGCTTTCGGTTGCCTTGGCTGTTGCTTTGTGGCTCCTTTTTTTCGGATTTGCCTGCGGCGCCTGCAGGTATGCAGCAGTTTTTATGTGGACTTAAAGTTGGAATCGACTGCAAAGTTTTGGGGCACACACAGCATGACACCGAGCGGAGACGCCATAAAACTTGACGGCGCCTCAAGTTACAACACAGTTCAACCATGCCCCTTCCCGCCCCGCCCCACACACACACACACACACACACACACACACAACTGCTCCCTTTTATGGTTTCATTTTGACTGAATTACTTTTGGCGCCCAATCGCCCGCTGCGTTGAATATGTATATCGTATAAAGTTTCTCGTCCAAAGCAAAAATATCGTCTTATGATTTATTTGCCAATGGATTCGACTCGAGAGCCCACAAGCACATACACACACACTCACACACACACCACAGCGGCTCATCATAAATTGCAATAAAAATCAAAATAAATCAGCATAATAGACTCGCAGCAACCACCGCAGGCCGGGCAGAGACAGCAACCCTCGAAATCCAACTACCAGCCCATTTGGGCTTTATTTGTTGACTGGGGTAAATTTCGCGGCCCACTCGACAACCGAATCAAAATTGAACTGCAAAGGCAGAAACAAAAAACGAAAAACAAAAAAAGACGGAAATGTGGAAAAAGGCGCACAATTTTGATTAAAAATCCAATGCAAATAATGCAACCACCCAACAAGTTGGAGAGGCACAGAGGCACGATGACTGATATGCTGCCACGTCAGGCTGGGCAAAACATATTCATATTGTGGCATGCAGCAAACCAAATACAAACCTCGCCTCAGCCCTGCGCATTTTATGTGAAATATTGGTTGTAAATATTGCTCGTTGTTGCATTTTCCTGTCGATTTTAAATTCATTTTTATAAATGTTTTGCCGGTTTGTGGTATGGATGTTTTCTGTTTGCCTGTTGCCTTTGTTCAAAATTTAGCTCCATGTACCACATGTGGTATGAGCAATATTTGAATGGTTTGCCCAGCTGCTGGCCCCCCATGCCGCATTTTCGGCACCTGTAACTGTAGACGGCTCCACAACAACAACAACAACTCCAGCTTAAACAATGACTATGCTAACAAAAACAACTACAACAATAATAACCGATGGCATATACAAAACTAATGTTGCTGCTGCACGCGGCGTATACGCAATATGCGCTGCTTTGTATAATAGCCTGTCCGACGAGTGTGTGTGTGTGTGTGTGTGCACTAATTAGCATATTTAAGCGTTCACTTGATGTACATCTATATACATGTACTGATATACATACACAGAGACAAATTTTGACTTTGTTAACTTGGACTAAGAGTTTGATTTTCTAGTTGGGTTTTTTGCTATATTATACATAAATATTTATTCCTAATTCGCTAGCAGACAAATGATATAAACTTTATATTGCATGGCTATAAATATTTAAATATTAAATAAATACTTGCTAATAATATAATAAATGAAAAAATATGCTGCATACTTCTGGGAGCTAAACGAAGTTTTAATGTGTTTAGATTAAAGCAAAGTCAAGTGCTTGAATTGTGTTGATTGCAGCAATCAATTAATATATCAAAACTAAAATCAACATTTTATATATGCCAGAGTATATTTATATAAAATAAAAGTTCCTTAAATATACCAAAGCAACTCGAAAGCAGATATGAAATCTTAAATGAAAAATTTGCCCATTTTGCTAGAAAATCTTTTTGGTTTTGATTCTTAACAACAGACTTTTGCTCTAATTTGAAGCCCTGCCAAATCATGTTCGCTTTAGTCAATGTTTACTGTGCCATATGCCACTTATATGTGATATATGTATATATATATATATATATATATATATATATAGATAGATAGATAGATATATAAGCGAATCGCATTACAGAGTTCAAACGCATGAATAAAACAAAACTAATTTTTCACAACTTTGTAATTGCACTTGGCTCTTGTTGCTACTGCTAGTTGTTGTTGTTGTTGTTGTTAGTATTGTTGTTGTTGTTGCTGCTGCTGTCCTTGTGATGTAACCCCAAATGGTTTGCTGTCTGCTCGTGCCGCGATAAAAAGCGACTTGTAACACGCGCTAATCAACAGCCGCCATGGCTGTGCCGTCTAGTTTCCATTTCCAGGTTGGACCCAAGCACAGCCCCCCCGATACCCTCCCCTCCCCTCCCCTCTTACCGCACCAGCCTGTGCAGGCCCCATGCCCCTCCCCTGAACCTATCAATCAGCGA